ATGGGTATATTTGCATTTCTTTTTTAAGTGCATTTTGCATGTGTACATATTTGCAAGAGTTTTGTTTAAAACAACCAATTTGATGCAATTTAAAAAAAAATTATGATTCATCAAAACTATCCTTTATAAAACAATTTTGTCCTACACTGTTATTCCCTGACTTAGTGTGCTATATCAGAGAAATATTTAGGAATATAAACAAATGATTGTCTAACATTTTGGGATGGCATTTTATCATAACTTGATAATTTATTTAAATAATTATCCTAAATATACAATCCTTTTTTTTTCTTTTTTTTTTTTAAAAAAAAAAAAAAGATGTATATAAAAATATTTTAACTGTTTATCATTTAGGGAACTTGAAGCAGTATTTTTAAGTGGAAAGTTTAAGAACTAATTTATTTAAGTGGAAAGAAAGTTTAAGAACAAATTTATTTATTTTTGTTTTTAAACTAAGATACTAATATAAGGAAACAGTTAAATAATAAATTAGTAAAAAGGAGAGCTATATCAGGATTTCAAATATGTCTCTTCAAATTACATCCAGTATATGTCTTTTCAGATTACCTCTTGACTTCCCATTGTTTTATTGCCTTGTTCTCGGTGGTCAGTTGACCATGTCTAGGGATAACTCATTTAGTACTACTTAGTTATTGCCTACCAAGGGATTGAACTATGTCAACAAATTTATGAACCAATGCTTTAATCCACCAGGTGAGATATCCTTAAACATGAAGGTTACCTGGATTGGAAGGCACCTGATGAAGGACAGAAAGCACAAGAAAACGTTATGATAATAATAACAATAAAGATGAAGACAATAGTCTGCATGTAAATAATGTAAACAATGATAAGTCGACATCCCAGAAATTCAGACAGTTTATTTCCTTGAATCCACATGAAACCAATTGTGAAGAAGTCAATGGAAGATCATTTGTTATTATAATCTATTATTTTATATAATGGAATTTCTTTCTCAAAGTTAAAATAGATCACCCAGATTTTTATAAAACACAATATGCATATAAATTTTGTGTATGTAACTCATTTTATAAGTCACCAGAATAGTTCATATCCCATCTCTAAGGGGATTCTTTTGGGGTAATAGATCTACTCAGGTGACCCTGCTATGTTATTTGTATGGGAATAGTTATTATTGGCCAATCATTGAGCTAACCTTGTGTGTGTGTGTGTGTGTGTGTGTGTATATATATATATATACATATATATATATATATATATACATACATACATATATATATATATATATACATACATATATATATATATATATATATACATACATATATATATATATATATATATATACATACATATATATATATATATATATATATATATATATATATATATATATATATACATACATATATATATATATATATATATATACATACATATATATATATATATATATACATACATATATATATATATATATATATATATACATATATATATATATATATATATATACATACATATATATATATATATATATATATACATACATACATATATATATATATATATATATATATATATATATATATATATATATATATATATATATATATATATATATATACATATATATATATATATATATATATATATATATATATATACATATATATATATATATATATATATATACATATATATATATATATATATATATATATATATATATATATATATATATATATATATATATATATATATATATATATATATATATATATATATATATATACAGAGAATTTGTTTGGTATTTTTGATATTTTACATTGATTGTACATTATTTACATTATTGGGACTATTGTCCTCATCTTTGTCGCCATGTTTATCACAACGTTTCGGCCGTTGTATGTTCCGGTCTTTTTCAGGTGGTTGGAATGTGGAACTGAAGCTTTTAATTCACTCCCTGGGGTAGACTGTTCTTGTTTCACGTCCTGAAATGTTGTGATAAACATGGCAACAAAGATGAGGACAATAGTCCAAATGTAAATAGTGTACATAATACCTCAGTACTCAGAAATATAGACATTTACATTGATTGATTATTGTTATTAACATCTTATATGAACAATCTTTTGTCAACAGTTGCATACTAATCTACCAAGTAATTTTCTACATTTAAGTTATTTACTGGTTTCTTAAAGAAGCTACTTATTTATCAGCTATAAAAAAATTTTATGTACAAAACTCACAAAGCATATAACTTGTTTAGCAATGCTAAACAAGTTATATGCTTTGTGAGTTTACAAAATAAAATTACCATGCCACCTCATTTTTTTCTTAGGAAATGACATTGTCTAGTGTTTATAACTTATGCATCCATTAACATCCATTTCTGTTTTAATGTCTGTGCTGCTGTTAGCTACCAATCTATGTGTCATGACACATTTATAAAAAATAGTTTTTAATTTTTTCGTCTTCACTTTGTTTAAATTTAACGTAAGTCATATTTGATAGGTTGATCAGAGTAAAGCCCACAAACTTTATTATTATACCCCCCTTTTTATTTATTTATTCATAAAAAGAGGTATTTTGCTTTTAAATCTAAAAAAATTGTTCATTCACCAGTAATTTATAATCACCTGATGAGATGCATTGATACACATCAAAATGCAACTGCAATTGTATAGCAATTTTGATATGTTTTTCTGTAATATCCTAAAATAAATAAATATATATATAGGCCACCCAGAGAGAAGAGGAAGCCATCTTGCAGTGAAGGTGATCTGAGTGGCAAAGTTGAATCCAGCAGGAGTTTAACAGTACCATGTCACTCGGTACAAACTGTCACATGTTATTTGGAGAGTACATGACCACTTCCAAGTAACCTTCCCTCCGACTGCCCTATGCAAGACCATGAAAGAGAATTACTTAGTATGGCACCTATCCAACAAAAAATGTTTGTGTTTGTCAGTATGACAGGTAGGAAATCAATACAAAGAGATGAGAATAGAGTAGATAAAATATATGTGCTCCATTACTTTGTAGGAATACAAAAAGTGATTATCTCCCTTTAGTGGAGATAAGTCACGTAACAGCTATTTAGTGAAGTCACTCTATACAGTGATGAAAGTGGCAGTCAATGTTCAGTTTGTTTACAGTAGCCAAACTGAGATGTTGTTTTTTTTTAGTCTGTGCCCCCGCCATGGCCCAGGTAGAGCCTAAATTTGCCTCCCCAGAAGCTTACAAGTCTATGGTGTTTTTTCCCTTTGGAAATATCTTTCCCAGATATAGAAAGAAACTCCAGCTCACAGTCCTCAATACCCAAGACTCACTGTTCCCTGTCCATGGAATATGTCCTTGCCTGGGACATAGTAAATTAATCCAGCCTTTTTGAATCTGGAATCCTAAACATGGTTTCTCCAGAAACAGAAGTATCTCCATATTATATATAAGATCTTCCTTTCTGTTTCTCCTTATACTCCTGTATAGATATATGTGATATATTATTCTCTGTGTGGGACATGTACATATATATATATATATATATATATATATATATATATATATATATAGTTTTGTGTATAATTTAGTGATATAAAAATCTCTCTAAGAACAAAGCATGTTTGTCATATATTTCCCTCTCAGGAATTCTGTTATATCTATGAAGTACAGTGTTATTATATCATGGATATAATAATACCCATAATGGGGGAAACACAAATGGGAGAATAAATCTTTCTTCCATAACTCTTTCTCATTATAACTTTAAGACATTAATGTTATGAACTATTAGAGATATGAAGAGACACTATACTTTCTTGAAAGTTCAACTACCAGAATATAAGTGGCTTTTCAGTGTCACCCAATGAACAGAATTTAGTCACTATTCATAGTTATCTGGTTTTCCTGAATGTTTCAGACACCAAACCTTGGAATTTATTGTAACCGTTATTAATTTAAGAAATTTTTCTTTGTTGAAATACCTGCTACATTTTTGGAGTCTTGTGTAATTTTTACAATTGTAAGTTACTATAATTTCTATAGTTTCTATAATTATAGTTTTTAACCTTCTTTGCATTTTAGGTAAGCAGTAGTGATGTAAGTTGTTCAGGCTGAGTGGCAAAATTTCTAAAGGTGTGATACAGTGTAAGAATGTACTGTATTGTAATGTGTAAGAATAAACTTTATTGTTGAGAGAAAACGCCAATTAAAAAATGTACAAATATTTGTAAGAGAATTATAATATCAACTTAGAAATGAAATAATGTTTATATGAATAAATATTTTTTAATTTTTCCTAATTGACATTTTTAAGATGATGTCCGGAAAAAGTATAAGTTCATTATTATTATATACTTCTAAATATTTGGATTTACTACCCCCTACAAATCTATTCAGTTCATATAAGTAAAATAGCCCCTGTATCCAAAAGATTATGCATAATAAATAATGTTTCAAAAAATGGATTTTTAAGATTGCTTATTTATTATCAGTAGTTTTAAGTTTAATTTGAATTCTTAGATACCAAATATGTCCAATTTTATTTAGAGCATAGTTTCCTTTTCTTTTCTATATTTCTTACAGAGTGTTGCTTGAAATTGGAAAATAGGATAGCTAGAAGGGGGAGTGATTTCATTGCAAGCACTACGATGATACAAAATGAAACTTTCTTTTGCAGTCTGTAGTAAACAAAATAAGGTGTTATTCACGGTCATTCTATCAGTAGAGATGTCAGTGTAGTGCATATTTATGGCTAGAAGGCTAAGACATGTACACATTTCCTAAACTTCCTGCAGAGAATTCTGCTTTTTTTCCCCCTTTTCTACTAAATGATATTATTTTCAGCCTGGAACTAAAAGAAAATTTAAAAAATAAAAATAAAAAAAATGATGAAAATAATACATAGTAAAAATTAAATAAAAAAATTAAATCAAATAAAAAAAAAAATGATAGCATATTCATTGTTATCATATTTCTTGAGAAAAGTAAAAACAGAAAAAGGTGCTGGATTTTACCTAAGACAAGAATGCTTCGGTTATGTGATTGATGAAGAGTAATAGGATCTCCATAAACATCCATCAAGTTCTGCTTAAGAACCATGTTACTGGCAGCAAGCACTAAATATGGAGTCTCCTTGTCATTTTCTGGAGGATAAAGAAAGAATAATGATGTTGGGTATAGAAATAGTCATTTTTACCATAAGTACTGCACACACACACACACACACACATATATATACATCTATATAAAAAATTTTATAAAGTAACTTATATGCAAAACCACATTCCTAATGAAAATAATTAATAATACTTCTAAATAGTTATATTTTAATATAACCAAATGAAGAAATATAATTAGATTTCATTCAGTACTTTTTATTCTTTAGTTAACATTTCCACAGTGTAAATACGTTGTACATTATAGAAGACATTTAGTACATTTCCAGAAAGCATTTTGTACATTTTTAGGAAGGTAAGTATAAAAGCAAACTTTTAGGCACAAAATAGATACAGTAATCATTTAACTTTATTATAATTATAACCAAATTAAAAAGTTGTCATTTTATGTTTCTTGAACCTTGTTTAATTATTTCAGTTAATCAGAATGAAGTCTCATAAGGTGTAACTTACTATGTTTTTTGGGGGTTTTTTTTTGTTTTTGTTGCAGAGAGAATATTTTAGAAGTATATTAAAAACTCTGTCTCTAATTTTTCAAACAAAATCTATATTTTGTAAAATGAATTTACACTTGAAAAAGTACATAAAAACTTTTTTTTAAATTATGAGAGCAAACTTTAAACATAAAGCAACATATTTTTTAGAAGAAACTGAGAAGTGTTGTTTAACTTTTAGTGTTCTGCATTTATTATTACTTCTCTTTCTACTGCATCCTTTTTCAAGGCCTCTCAATTGCAGTATTCTTTTTGTTAATTTCACTCAAAGCTGTTTTCTGTTGCCATAGCAGGATATGACAACACAACTATGAAATTCAAACACACTATTGTTCAGGGATCAATCACCTTCAATGGCAGGATAAACTTTTTTTGTACAGCAAATGAAGTCACATACAGAGTGATAAAGGTTAAAGAACTTCAAAATAATATAAAATAAGAGTAAATTTGAAATAACTATTACTAATTTTTCATTAGTGTTTCTTTCATATTTATGCTGATTGTTTTCACCTAGTTGTACTAACATATAATATCCTTACATTGTTTGAATTTCTTAGATGAAGCATTGTCATTATTATTAAGGCTTGCCTAGTAATTATCTCATCTTAATTCCAATTGCCATTCTGCAATTGTTAACTAGACAGTATAGATTATAAATAAAATCTAAAACATCTGCAAGATTTGAATTAGCATCCCTTATTCTTGGAAACTCATTTTTGTATAACGAATGCTAATAGTGTAAAAGAAAATGTAAACATCCAAGATGGTTGCATATAGGCTTTGGAGAAGTAAAGAATATAGCTATATAGTTAAATTTGAATCACCCCTACCATTTGGTCTCTATATCAGCTGCCGTGGCTATGAAATTGAGGAGTTGCAATAAAAAGCAAATTAAATTACATACTAGTCCAATGATTAATAAATAATTGACAATGCATCATGAAAGAAATTCAGCTCAGGTAAAGCTATTATGCCTTATTACCACAAGGTGTAAAAATCTATAGAAATAAGATGAAAGAAAGACTAGTCAAAAATTAATAAATAATAACAATGTATCATGAAAGAAATTCAAACACTCCTATCTTTTATGCTACCAGGTATAAAACAAAAACATTTCTTTATCGTGATGATTAAAATAAAGCTACATTTTGTAGATATTTCTTTTGAGTTAGAATGACTATTGTTAATAATAAAATAAAATTTATGTTTGAAAGAAGTTATTAATCTCATATTGAGTGAATTTCATTTGTAAGTTTGCAGTTTGACTGCAGAGTAAATCTTAGACATTATTTATTTTATTAAACCTTATTCTTTATTTATTTTATTAAATCTTATTTATTTTATTAAATCGTATTTTCTATTTTATTAAATCTTATTCTTTATTTCGTTAAAAACATTTTCATTATTTTATTAAAACTTATTTATTTTATTACATCTTAGTCATTATTATTTTATTAAGACTTTCATTATTTATTGGATTAAACCTTATTCTTTATTTTATTAAATCTTATTTTTTTATTTATTTTATTAAATCTTATTATTTATTAAATCTTACTTTTATTTTATTAAATCTTATCTTTTATTCATTTTATTAAATCTTATTTTTTTATTTATTTATTAAATCTTATTTATTTTATTAAATCTTATTTATTAAATCTTATTCTTTATTTTATTAAATCTTATCTTTTATTCATTTTATTAAATCTTATTTTTTTATTTATTTTATTAAATCTTATTTATTAAATCTTACTTTTATTTTATTAAATCTTATCTTTTATTCATTTTATTAAATCTTATTTTTTTATTTATTTTATTAAATCTTATTTATTAAATCTTATTCTTTATTTTATTAAATCTTATCTTTTATTCATTTTATTAAATCTTATTTTTTTTATTTATTTATTAAATCTTATTTATTTTATTTATTTTATTAAATCTTATTATTTTTAAATCTTTATTCTTTATTTTATTAAATCTTATCTTTTATTCATTTTATTAAATCTTATTTTTTATTTATTTTATTAAATCTTATTTATTAAATCTTACTCTTTTATTTTATTAAATCGTTATCTTTTATTTATTTTATTAAATTTTATTATTTATTTTATTAAATCTTATTATTTAATTTATTTATTAAATCTTATTATTTATTTTATTAAATCTTATCTTTTATTTATTTTATTAAATCTTATTTATTTTATAAATCTTATTATTTATTAAATCTTATTTATTTTATTAAGACTTTTTTATTATTTTATTAAATCTTAGTCATTGTTTATTTTATTGAAAACTTGATAAACATTTTAAATTGATAATTAAAAAATATGTATTCTGATTTGGATTTCCAATGAAAATTAACATTTTGATAATGTTTACTTATTTTTTTTTTTTTTTTTTGTATCTTACTTGAGGAATTGGTTTTGACTCAAATGAGATATGAAGATCTTTTTTATTATTTATGTATTTGTTAACTATATTTCTGAGATTAGTACCTGTTGTCGGCTCAGGTGTTGTGATTTCCAGTATGTCTGCAGGTCCTTCTCCATGGGAATTCCAAGCAGAAACCTTAATTGTATAGGTGTGCAAAGGTTGCAATTGGTTGAATGTCCATGACAGAGTGTTGGGTGATACTTCCCGTAACACATTTCTATTGTCAGATTTTACGACTATCAACTTGTATCCAAGTAGCTGACCATTGGGAAACAGAGGTGGGCTCCAGATGACAGTAATCACAGTTGGAGATGGTGTGGTCACACTTACGATTCTTGCCGGAGAAGAGGGCTCTAGGAGGAAAATAAAAGAAAGACAAATCAATTGATATATACTGTATTTGCTTGCTTAAATAATGAGGATTCATATTTTATCAAAACAGTTTGCACATCATGAAGCTTTGGTACTTGACCTCCCATCTATTATACCACCACATTAGAATAAGTACAGGTACTCCTCTCCTTACAAACATCTTATTAGGAACTTTCAAAGATATAAACAAGCCTTGTTATAAATTTAAATTTTGAACTCCATACTGTTTCAGAGGTTCAAGTAGTGTACAACAGATGGCAGATACAGTTCTTGCTTAACATTACCCTGCAAACACAACACCATTATTTTCTTTCTTTAGTATCAGTGTTAAACTATGGAAACTGATGCCTTCCTAAAGTTAAGCAAAGTATTAAGAAACAGGAAAATTTTGTTATAAACAAAGAAAACAGTACTGAAGAGTTATGTAATATCATTCCTCCTATATCTCAGTAAATGCTGGGCAATCTCCTTAAAGATGAAGAAGAGACTTGAAGCAACAGAAACGTGGTTCTACTGAAGGATGCTGAGAATAACGTGGAGTGAACATGTGAGGAACAATGAAGGTTTACCAAAAATGGAAACAAAATGAACACTTGTACTTAGAATCAGAAAGTGATTGTTGGAATTTCTAAGGAATGAAGGCTTGGTAAATTTGATACTTACAGGATACATTGAAGGCAAGAGGGACAGAGGAAAATGACATATAACCTACCTAGCAAGGTACCTGGTACTACCCAATTTCATTGTTGTTCTTGTTTGAAGTGATGTGATTTTTGTTACTTGGTAAAGCTCTTTGTGTTTTTTTTTTAGTGCCAGCTTATAGAGTTTGATGAATGATGGTACTCTTTATAACCTACAGAATTCATTCACTTGAAGCCATTTTTAATCCTCAATCTGAGAAAACAGTTGTATATAGATGATAGTTTAGACATTTCTGAACAAAATGAATGCCTTGCATAATATCCATATGAAAGTCTAAATATGATGAGGCTATCTAATAATATCTTGAGTTTTACAGTTAATGTCTTGACTTTGGAGTATCTTAAAGTGGAGGTTGATATGATGGCAGTTCAACTCTTTTCTTTGTTTCTATAAAATTTTCTTATCTCTTAACCCTTTTCCAGACAATTATTTTGGTAAAAAACTTTTTTTCCAGATGAATGTTTTTAATATTGTATTTTTATGCTGATTATGAAAAATAACTTGCATTTCAATTTTTTTTTTTTTTTTTATGGTTGAAATTATATTTTGAAAATCCCTTTTTGGCAAAGACATGTAAATATGTCTTACCATAAACTGTATTTCTTTACCATATTTTTTTTTATTTTTCTTATATAATTTTATTAGCATATTCACTCTCTTTCCTTGAACTAGACATTTGGGTGTAATTTGTGAGGGGGAAAAAAAATAAGTGAGAGTGTGGCAGCAAAATAAATACACCTGACCACATTGACTGCTTCAAGAAGACTAAAAAACTGAGACACCTTGAAATACCTGAACAGTGGCTAACACCTCTACCAGACATGTGTTGACAATTGGACTCATTTCAAGCTCAGAATGGCATAGAAAGAATCAAGATCAATGTATAAACACATCTATAGCTGGTTTTTGAACATTATGTTCTGGATATTTTTATTCGTCCATGTCTGAAAAAGACATTTTTGGTAAAAATGTATATACATGTCTACACCAAGGAAGAGGTTAATACTTTGTTTACAGTAATATTATGAATATTTTTATGATTACATATTTCTGAATATTTAGACATAAAGCCACCTCTTAAAATATATCCTTTTAATAAGTAAAAGAGTGTTCTTTTTCTTTTCTTTATAAAGTATGTCTTTAAAGGCATACAAATATCATATAAAAGGTTATCATTGTTCATGACATAAAAAGTTTTTCGCTCAATAGGATGAATCAGCCTTCGATAAAACCTATTCTTTCTTGTATGAATTCCTGGTATTTACTGAACTTAGTTTTAGAGTAGGACATTCCGCATGACCTATTAGATCATCAGGGTGTCATACTAAATAATTCCTGTTCAAAGCATCCCTCAGGACAATGGAGGCACTTGACTATGCCCTTTTCCTCATCAAGTAACATGTAACAGGTTGTACTGGGTTACACGGTAGCAGCAGCAAAGAACAATTCCTGACCTGCCTAAATAAGAGGAAATGGAAGTAAAGAGAAAAGAGAAATCTATTTTCAAATGTCATTAGTGTAACTTCATTAGACTTCGTCATCTTGATATATAAAGCTGAATACATCAATTTAATACTCTTGTATGACAACAGTTGAATTACAAAGTCTACATATGAAGTGGGACAAAAAATTCAAAGAATTTGAACAGTATGCATCAGTTATAGTATAGATTTTTGTCAATACCCATTATGGGCAGTATTCTTTGTATGTCAGTGCAAAAAATGGATTACTTTGATTTTGAAGGAGATAGCAGAAAATATGTATTAAAGTATTTAATTTTGTCATAGTTGAATATGCTGATCTTTCCGGTAACCCCTCATAATCAACTATAGTCGGGTAAAGAGGCTTACATTTTATTTATTTTTTATTATTAATTGACCAAATGAAAGCACTAAAGACTGTATAGGTTTTCTGAAATTTTGTCATGGTTGTTTACTTTTTGATTTTATAGTGAACAAAATTTTTGCCAAATTATTTAAAAAGTTAACATCCAAAACAATAAAAACACCCCAAAATGATCAGTTTTTAAATCCTGAACGAATGAACTTATACTGTATTCCTCATCATATAAAATGTAAAAGTGAATAATGCATACATAATTTGGAATATTTTGGGAAAAAAATAATAATATTCAACTAATGACTAATTCATACTTGTTTACCATTTTTTTCATACTGATTTGTAATCATATATATCTCCTTCTGGAGTCATCAGGTGGTGAGCATGTCAGACATGGTTGTTTAAGTGTTAGTTGAGTGCTGGTAACCCAAATACCTGGTAATTTTTGGAGGAGTGTTTTAGGCAAAAATGTGTCCCTTATATGAGAAGAAATATGGTAATTTTAGTATTTAAATAAAATTACTATACTTGATGGTATGTAAGAACTTTACACCCAACCCCAATGAAAAACTGGCAAAAAATATCTCCCAGATTTGATATATGAAGTTAATGCATCTGTTAAGCTAGAACTTTCCAAATTGGTGAAGCACAACATTTTAGTCTAATTAATTATCTTTCTTTAATTATTAACTAAATTTTTCATTGAAATATTTCTTACATTATTCAGACTATTATCCTCATCTTTGTTGCTATGTTTATCACAACGTTTTGGCTGTTGTATGCTCCAGCCTTCTTCAGGTGGTTGGAATGTTGAACTGAACCCTTTATTTCCTTTATTTAATTCGACATTTCAACCACCTGAAGAAGGCAGGAGCATACAATGGCCGATAAACATGGCAACAAAGATGACAATAGTCTGAATAATGTAAATTGTGTACATAATACCTCATCTCAAAAATATAGACAGATACTGAAATATTTCTTTGTATATACACTTTAACTTATATAGATTACTAAAATAAGTTAAGCAATGTATATATTTTTTCTTTTAAGTGGGTTGTCAAAGAAAAAGGTTTGAAAAGCTTTATAGTGGGTTAATGTTCATGCAGCAACAACAAATTACCAGTGTATGTACCTAGATTAATTATAAATGGAATGGGGGGGGGTCATATAATCTGTATACAACTGTTTTCTTAGATCAATGATTAAAAATAGATTCAAGCGAATGAAGCATGTAGGTTTTAGAGAGGACCATCCTTCATCAGATTTCATAGATTGATGGTACCTAACCACAATGTACATAACAAAAACAGAAACCATATCACTTGAAGTCTTTCAACATCAGCAACAAATAAAAAGGATAGTAAAGCCACATCAACGTAAACAAACTTAGTCCAATGAAGTCCTGAGGAATGAAATGCATTACATGAAAATTTTTTCATACCCCCCCCACACACACAAAAAAAAAAATTAAATTTATGAAAATGGTTACTTGCTCATGATGTGATAAGAATTTGGTTGGTCTCACAATCTACAAAGAGTAAAACCAGAAATCTTGTGTCAATCAAGCTTGTCCCAAGATAATCAATAAGATCTATGAAATCAACACCATATAGAACTATATGAAATCAAAATCATATAAACAGCAGCAGTAGCTTGTGAAAGTATCAAGAAATATATTTCTGAAAGGGATTCATATAATATTACTTGATAAGAGCCTGTTTTTAACCAGAATATAAAAGCAAAGCCAAGTGTTTATGACCAATTATTCATGACAGGCTGGACAGCAAACAAGATGTAAAAGTCCATTTTGTGTCTGTAGAGGGTTGATCAGAATTTCTAATGTGAGTATCCAGTTCAGGAAAGTGGACATCTCCACAATGTAGTGATGTAAAAGTATCTTGTCAGTATGAAAATGACAGTGTTATGTTTTATGAAAATATTCCTCATGCATGTGTTGAAGCCAAACTACACAGCTTTTCATTTAAATGTGTCCTTGTGTTAGAATGAACACGTTTCTGTAAAGAAACTCACAAATCAAAAAATGGAAATTTGATTTTTTTATTCTTGAACTTTCACAAGAACGGTTTGAATGAGAAGCGCATAAATAAAGATCTGTCAAGCACTTGGAAAGATTGGAGCTATTAAAATAATCTCTGGAAGTACAAGAGGTTGCTGAAACCAAGAAACCCTTAAAAAACACATCTGATGTCTGGATAGATTTAGGGAAGATGGCTGGGCCAAGAAAGTTTCAGCATTCCTTCATAGTTTGTAAATGGAAGAGGGGGGGGGTCATAATCTGTATACAATTGTTTTCTTAGATCAATGATTAAAAATAGATTTAAGTGAATGAAGCATGTAGGTTTTAGAGAGGACCATCCTTCATCAGATTTTATAGATTGATGGTACCTAACTGCAATGTACTTAACCAAAATGAAAACTACATCACTTGAAGTCTTTCAACATCAGCAACAAGTAAAAAGGATAGCAAATTTAAATCAAAGAGAAAATAATAGCATGATCAAAATGTTGCCTTTCTACACTACTTCAAACAAAAGGTTTGGAAGGAAACTCTGCATCAATCATAGAAAGAGTAATAAAAGTGAGCTTAAAGTCTATTTTTCTAAAAAAAATATTAAGAATATGAGAGTGTAAGAATAATCAAAATTAATTCAAGGCTATTTTTCTTGTAATTTATTTTGGTATAATTTTTCAAAAGTGAGGAAAAAGTACATGATATTAAGATCCTTGCTGTAGACAGTGTGGCAATGAAAGAATTAAGGAAGATCTTCAGTTACTCTATTATTACTACATTATTATTATTATTATTATTATTATTACTCTAAAGTGTTATGATATTAGCCCACCACACCTTATTCTCTTGGCCACAAAGAGCAGTCAATCAGGCAAGGCCAAATTTCATGCTTTCAACCAAAATTTTTGATGTCATAAATCTATCAAAGTTTTTTTCATATCTGCACAGTTTCATATCCAAATGTAAACAGAATTTCACAATGGATTCAGGCTGGTAGACAAAAGTAAATAAATATACTGTTTAATAAATAAACGGAGCATCTACCCAAATACAAGTATCCACTAAAAATAACGTTTTAAAGTGATTATATATATATATATATATATATATAAGACACACACACAAAGTGAGAGGCTTGAGTTTGTATTTTCTATTTGCTTTTTTATTCGTTTGAACTTTCCTCATGCTTGTCATTCTTTCTTTACAATCTTTCAACTTGTCCATTTTCTGATATTCAATATTCTTCAGGTATAGAACATTATTGTTACAATAACAAAAGCCTCTCAAAAGTAAATCTGGAAAATGCCAGAGAATGTATGATTGGAAACTTTGTTAAAAAACAAACATGAAGACAAATAAAAGAGAAAATCAAAACATAAACAAACACATCTTAAAATCTAAAGCAAAATACTATCTTTCTCTTTCATATATATATATATATATATATATATATATATATATATATATATATATATATAGAGAGAGAAACTGAATATTGGTATGTCACAGAAAGAGAAGAGATGGGAGAGCAGAAATGTTAGATGAAGTTAAGTAGCACTCAAATTAATAGCATTTGATGGACAAGGTTTTAGTAGAGAGTAAAGGCATCTGTTGTTGTAGTCATATGGTTGTTATGCAAGAATTCAGAATCACATGATCTTATAAACTGACAATAGCCTTTACTTGTGTCCAAATATTAACAATAAAAGAAAAACATAAAATCTTTTCAGAGTTCCAATCTTTGGTTGTATTCTTTGTTTTTCTTTCCTCTTGCCTTTTCCCTGTAAATATTCTTTGTGTCTCCTCTTCACAAGGAATCAAAATAAAAAGCATCAAGATAAACTTCTGTTGGTCTTTCCTTTTGTATGTATATAGTTTTAAAGATTTGCATTGAATAAATCTGACATGGGACTGATAATAGTTTTGTGCTAGGTAAAGTCTTTCTAGTGTGTTAAAGCAATGACTATAATCTCAGAATTCACTAGCAGCTGAACGATAATTGGTCAGTCCAAATAAATCTAATAATATGTGAATCAATTGAGGTTTCTTATTGTGTTGTCCAAGGCCGAAAGTCAAATGCAAATGTTCTACATAGTTTGGCATTTAAGTGTATTCCTTCCAAACTCATAAAAACTTGTGCCCAGTCAGTAGTCAATTGTAAATCAGTCAAGGTCGGTCTCAGTCACGATCATAGTCATTATAAACTCTACAATCCTTTGATTAGCTGAATAGTTTGTGCTCTGCCAGAGATACATACGTTTTTGAATTGTCCTTCTAAGCTGGTTAATAATTAATATTTAATGTTTTTTGTACTGTTTATATTGGTACCCTTTCATAAAATAGATAACCCATTTTTATTTTAAACTGTGTGTATTACATCAGTTTGCACACATGTAATACCCACTGTTTAAAATAAAAACAAGTTGTCTATTTCAAATATTTTTATTCAGATTTTTCTCGAAAGCCCATATCAGCTCAGTTTCAGATCCGAGACATAAACAAAGCAGGTCTTATCATTTTACTGTTAAAATTGCTACTTTGTAACTATAAGTTCTATGCTAATCATTACAACTCTCTCACTTTTTACCAATGGAAATCTCTTACAGATTTTTGTTTTCCTGTTAACTAAGATCTTTAAAAATATAAATGCAATATCAGTCATTGCCATGTGTCTCTTTAAGTCCTGGTCATTTAATGTCCTCTCTTTTCTCAATGTTTTCTCAGTTTCTTCTACTCTCAGTAACATTCTGCATCTTAGTGGCTTTATCATTTTGTTTGGAATGAAATGATTAAAACACAAAAAAATAAAAATACATCTTGTATAAAAATACAAAGCAATTTCTTACTTACTTCCATATGAGAATGTTGTCACTGATACACTTGCATTGGATTCAAGGAAATTGTCTGGATTCTTTATGAAGGCCACAATTTTGAACTGAAAAAAATAGAAACAAAGAACCAAAAGTCTCTATTGATGATAAATTTTTAATAAAAATGTTCATAAAATAAATTTGCAAAAACAAAATAATAGATTCCAGGTACAATATATATATATATATATATATATATATATATATATATATATATATATATATATATATATATATGTAAATTTTGAAAAAAACAAAATCCATAAATGTGGTTAAAATGAAAAAATTGTCGACGTCAGACGTTTCGGTTTTAATAAACCATTTTCAAACAAAATTCATTAAAATACAAATTCAGTTCAATATGACGAAAACGATGGACATAAAAACACAAGTCTTATCCAAGAGTAAAACAGATAACTGAATTGTGTTTTTATGTCCATCGTTTTCGTCATATTGAACTGAATTTGTATTTTAATGAATTTTGTCTTGAAAATGGTTTATTAAAACCGAAACGTCTGACGTTGACAATTCTTTCATTTTAACTACATTTATGGATTTTTGTTTGTTTTTCAAAATTTCTACATTCTGTCGGATTTATATCCATTTACACTTGCTTATATACTGTCTACTGAAAACACAAACCTAAATTCGTTTTTTTTACAACATGGAAGATTGCAGGCTTATCCGGAAATACAGGAATTTTAAAATAATCACGAACTTTTAGGAATACGTTATGAAAGCGTCGCCCATGTGACTACGGCGTGACCACGTTAAACGGAAAGCTGATCTTTTTAAAATTGTCAGTTATCTGTTTTACTCTTGGATAAAACTTGTGTTTTTATGTCCATCGTTTTCGTCATATTGAACTGAATTTGTATTTTAATGAATTTTGTCTTGAAAATGGTTTATTAAAACCGAAACGTCTGACGTCGACAATTCTTTCATTTTAACTACATTTATGGATTTTTGTTTGTTTTTCAAAATTTCTACATTCTGTCGGATTTATATCCATTTACACTTGCTTATATATATATATATATATAAATATATATATATATATATAAAAAATATAAATATATATATATATATATATATAAAAATAAAATATATAAATATATATATATATATATATATATATATATATATATATATATATATAAAATATATAAATATATATATATATATTTAAGAAATGGACAAGGTCCGACAATTTATTTATTAAAGACATTTTTATGTTTAACGTTGTTATTTATAGATACAAGTATTTAAGCAAATGCTCTGTTTATGATAAACAGTATTAAATAACATTTACCGGCCTGAATGTCCGAGAAATTTTCATAGAAAATATTTGTTTTTGATTAGATTTGAACCTATCCTATAAGAACCGGTTACTTACGCTTTTAATTTTCCATGACCTCTGCACATTCATAACTGCTTCTGGCGTATCAAATGTAAACAAATGACGTCATATATTTAGCTGTTATGAATGTACGAGATTCATGGAAGATTGAAGTTTATAAGCAGTAAATCACCTTGTTCACCGAAAAGGTTCTTTTGTGGCTAGAGGTAAGGCACGTCAGCGTAAATGACGGTTCTGTATAGGATGGTATCTTTCTATGAAAATTTCTCGACATTCAGGCCAGTAAATGTTATTTAATACTGTTTATCATAAACAGAGCATTTGCTTAAATACTTGTATCTATAAATAACAACGTTAAACATAAAAAATGTCTTTAATAATATATATATATATATAAAAATATATATATATATATATATAAATATATATATATATAAATAAATAAATATATATATAAATATATATATATATATATATATATATATATATATATATATATATATATATATATATATAAATATATATATATATATATATATATATATATAAAGAACATTAGTCTGATGAAGTCCTTTTAGAGGGCAAAATGCATTACACAAAATTTTCCACTTTGTCTTTCAACTACCTGACATTATTATTCTGATATATGGAAGTTCATATATCATATTTCCCCTCTTTATAATCTTTTACTGTTTTCTTCGTGTCTTAGTGGCATTATTGCTTTGCTTAGTTTAAATTTGATTACGATATATATATGAAGAAATATAGTTTAAGGTGTGCTGTATTTATCGGATAAAGTGCTCAATATCAGAAATAAAGAGTGTGTAAATATAAAAGTGAACATTGACGTCAACACTTAGAGGTGACAGGCTGTTTCATGCTAGATGTAATCATCAGGCTGCCTATATCTATATATATATATATATATATATATAAACTAAATACATATATTTTTTAATTAAAAAATCAATGACATAGAGATGGGTAAATTACTCTTCTCTATATCGTGGACTCTTTTGATGATGTGGTAGAAATGTTGCATTTATTACTTGAAATATTCTGTTAATGCAACTTAAATAGTGATCAATTCTGTAAATAAATTAATTTTTAAAAGTAAGATATGTTTAAATATGTTTTATGAAAAAATTAGTTTCATTTATTAAAATTACTTTCATTTGTAGCATGAGAACAAGCTATTATCATGACTTAAAATTTACAATTATTATCTTTACTTACTTCAGGAAATCTTGAAGATAAACAAGAAAATTCAGAGCAATATTTGGTATTTTGATATTATACATGCATCAAAAATACTTTTAAAAACTTGGGGGCATGTTCCTCACACCAAAACAAGGATGAAAGTCCCTATATATATCTGCAAATCCTTCCTTTTTGAGTTTTCAAGTTTAAGGAAAGTTTATGGTAGATGGTGCTGTGTTGCCATATAGACTAGGTTACATTTGTCATTCATGTATATTTATGGCTAGTCTGTCTTCAATGTTTAATGCATAATAGTAGTGAATTAACTGAGAATTGTTCAGTTTAACAATGGCAGGCAGATATGATTTTTACATATACCTTGGGAATGGTAATGGATATGAGGCTGCATGGTTGTATCAGATTGTGTTTCCAACTGAAGGCAGCTGAGTTTTCCAACCTTTGCTGCTGTTTATTGTCATGTTGCTGAGACAGGGTCCATGACACCACAAAATATTGATCAAGGAAGACCAAGCTCAGCTTGTATGCCTGACCATGAAGAACACATTCTACAGGCTATCAGAGATGATCTCGGTATCAGTACACATCAAGTAGCCCTAGCATGTTATACATCTCATAGTACCACATTAAGAGTACTTAAATAGCAGCTCCTGTATTCGTATCATTTTTAAAGTGTGCAGGGTTTTTCACCCTTTGATAACTCACCACGGTAGAACTTTTGCCGATGATTTATTGCATAAACTGCCAATCCGTTATTTGTCACATCAGTCATGTTTATAGATGAGGCAATATTTGGAAGAGATGGAATAACAAATTTAAACCACCAACATTTGTGGGTGGATCGCAATCCCCATGGTACAAGCTAGATAGTAGCATCAGTTTACGATTAATGTGTGGGCTGAAATTGTAGGTAACTGCCTGGTAGGTCCATATGTTCTCCCAGCACGTCTTACAAGAGTTGCCTACCAGTTCTGCTAGAAGATGCACACCTGCTAATACAAAGATGCATGTGGATCATGCATGATTGGGCTCAAGCACATTTTAGTTAGATTATTTGTGATGCACTGGCATCTATCATGAAAGATGGATGGCTATGCGAGGACCAGTTCTATGGCCTGCATGTTTCCCCCAACCTTAATCCTTAATAATGCAGAGATGCTTCATCAGTGTGTCATGGAGGACTGCAAAACAATTTGACACAATGTGGGAGTACTTGAAAGGGTCTGTCAGTTAATGATCTGATGGGTGCATGCATGTGTAGAAGAAAGCAGAGGACATTTTTGAACATTTGTTATGAGTTGCTGTGTTGAGGTATGATGATGGCCTTTTGGACATATGTTTATATTGACATTTTACCTTGTTTTAATGTCAGGAACCTGCCTCCAAAGTTTGTAAAAAAAAAAAAAAAAAATATATATATATATATATATATATATATATATTTGTATTGTATTGTATCTTGGATTATACATTTAACAGTGTCTACCGTAAACATAAATGAAGTATTTGTGGACATAAGTTTATATGATATTTTGTCCTTGTTTTGGTGTGAGGAACGTGCCCCAAAGTTTGTAAAGCATTTTTGATACACACTGTATAAGTACAAGGCAATTTCAAAATAACTGCTTCTGATATTTTTTGATATCATGCCTAAACTAGAACAGAAATGATGTAGATCAACATTAACCTAGAGATAAAAAATATAATTCTACTGGTGTTCTATTTAGTTCTTATGTATTACTACTGTTAATTTTTATGTAAGTATATGGTTTCAATAAGGAAAATTCAATGGAGACTATAATACACAAAAGAAATGACTGTTTTAATAATATATGTGAATGTCTTACTCAATTTGAAAATAATATAATAAATCACAAGTTATAAAAAAAGTATTAAAAATAGTTACAGCAAAATAACATTTCCATTGAGAATGCATAGACTCAAGTTTCAAATAAAAGGGGTGTATGAAATTTTTTTGTAATCTTCAGTAACAAAACAATTTGTTCTAGAATTCTTACAGCATAAATTAAAGGGTGGGAAAATTTTCTGAATATTTAATAAAAGGTATGGGGCTGGAATAAAGATGTTCCAAGATTTTTTTCCCAAAAAGGATAATTGTCTAATTGTCTTGGCCTGTTTGTTTGAAACATTCAAGCAACTATGAATGATTTTATAAACATGCCATTTTACCCCTTGTATCCCAAAGAACATTATACAAAAAAAACAAAAAACTGTTAATCCCTCCAAGAGTACATTTGACTCTATTCTTAACAAAATGACATTCTTGACAAAATAAAATAAGGAAAAAAATGAAAGGTTAATTTACCAAGTGATTATTTAAATAACTATTTTTTTTGCTAAATGTTTTTATTGAAGTTTATTTTTAGAATGTGATGATTTTGTTTTTTAGATAAGGTGAAGCTAAAGATTTCTACAAGTCGGGAAGAAAAGAAAAAACATATAAAGTATAATAACATAAGTTTCCAT